TGAAGTGTTAGTCGTAGTACTTGGAGGGTCATGGGACTTAGAAGGTAAGGTTATAAGTCCCCTAAGAGGGGTTATAAGTATAGTTACCTTAGTTATAACCCTACTTACTAAGTCCCATGATCCTTTAAGTAGTGCATGCTTTTCCCGCTCTCTGGCAGTCTTGCGAAGGGTTTGTGTGTGGTAGGATCGGCAGGAGGCCCGTCCTTGTCAGTCTTCGACGTACTTTCAATTACCAAGCCGATTTGGGGGGGGGGGGGGGGNNGGGGGCGTTCCCTAGTACATTTATAGCATAGTATACCACAAAGCCTATTCTAGTTATTAAGGACCTCTATGATATGAGTTGCTCTTTGCAGCGTGGGGCTTAAGGCGATGTTGTGTAGGCATGTGGGTTTTGAATGCGAGGTTGTAGGTCATCTTCAGCTCTGACTTCTGAATCCAACGTCTAATGTATAGAAGACTGAATAGTCCTTGTAGGTTCTTATCATTATTCCTCAGGGCCTCGTTTCTTAAATTCACTGTAATTTGCCTTCCAAACCCTAAGCCCTAAACCCNNCTAAACCCTAAACCCTAAAGGAGTTCCGAGCTGAGGAGGCTTTCACTCCGATCTCGGATTGTGTGGTTGGCCTAGGGTTTAGGGCAGGTGGAAGGGTTGTGCCGCGGCCCCGTGATTTTGTAGCTTGGCCATCGATTTCCGGGTTCGCTGTCACCCATGTAATCTGTAACTTTAGCCTTGCTTTTGCTGCGGAGGTTTCATTGGTGTTTGCTCGGGAAGGCGATCTCATTGAAACGGAACACGGTCTGGCGCACATCCGACGGCATTGCACTCGTCTTGTGCAGACGCCACCCATCTGGCTTCCCTTGTAAGGGCATGTTTCTGGCAGGATCTTGAGAAAAAAGCCATGCCATATGCAAGAAGCCTACAGCCCCGAACCTCTAACTCGTGTTACGCCGTCTCTCCCCCTTGTTCGATATGTGCCTTGCCAACCCGATGTCACACCCCAAACGACCTGAATGTAGGGGTCTGAGCAATAAGAGAAGCTAGTTGCGCTTACGGCTCCCGTATAAGTCTCCTGAGTCGACCCTAAACCCGAAATCCTAAACCACGAGAAACCCCTAAACCCTAAACCCTAAACCCTAAACCCCTAAACCCTAAACCCTAAACCCTAAACCCCAAACCGGGACGGGCAGGTCCAGGCGCCAACTTCCGATCGTTGCCGTGTACTTCGGCACCTTTGACCCTATCCATGCGACTCGGCACTGCTTTTAGGTTTAGGGTTTAGGGTTTAGGGTCTAGGGTCTAGGGTCTAGGGTTTAGGGTTTAGGGTTTAGGGGTTTAGGGTTTAGGGTTTATGGCTTGGAGTTGATGGTTTAGGGAGTGTTTGGGGTTGAGAGGCTTCGGGTTTAGAGGTGTTGGGACAGTCTTGAGCCTTGAAAAGTTTAAGGTTTAGGATTTTGGTGCTTTTGGTACGTCAGTTTTAAGAACTTAAGAGTTCGACTGGGTTACTGAACAGGTTCATATATGTAGGGTTTTGGGATTCATTTCAAACCCCTTAAAGCCACGAAATCCAGAATGAGATGTCCAGGCTTTCAATGTAGCGCATTGGTGTCGGCTTGCTGCGTAGCCATGCACCACAAAAACGCATCTGTGGTGTAAGTGCCTTAATTGGGGTTAGAAGTACCTATAGGTATGGTTACTTTATTTATACCCCTAGTTACTAAGTCGCATGAACCTCAGTATCCCCTTGTTATTTCCTGATTGTTTAGGCCCGTATATAAAGCCGTAAAGCAACCTCATGAGAATCCCAGTGTAAACTCGCAGGGTAAGGCAATCTTCGGCCTGCGAACAGCCTCTCGAATCCGAGTTGCGATAGCCCAGACCTATTGGCGAAGGCCCCTGATATAGTAGCAGTTCATAAAAACTTCTTCACCGTCCTCAATTTAAGAACAGAATATACGCCACAAGCTTCTTCTAAGTTTTTTGGCCCCAATCTAAACCCTGACAAAAACCCTAAACCCTAAATTGAAGTCCAGGAGAATCATATCGGCCTTGCCAAGTTTGCGCGTGGGGACTCGGCTCGGCTCACTTTCGTCTTAAGGAAGCCTGCGCCTGCGGTTTAGGGTTTAGGGGTTTAGGGTTTAGGGTTTAGTTTTGGGGTTTAGGGTTTAGGCTTTAGGGTTTAGGGTACTGCCGAGAAGATACAGGAAGCCAGGGGTGTAGAGACAATGGAACCTAACCCTATACCCTACCCTAAAACCCTAAACCGTGGGCGTTGGGGGTCTTCGACGGTTTTCGGGAAAGTACGAACTTCCCACCCAGAAATATTGACATGAAGAAGTACTACCAAAATCTGGTAACGTCTGGTAACTGTATGAAGATCCCTCCATACTCCTATTGTACCATTGTTGCTGCGCGGGGGCCTGACCGAATAGTCCAATTCCAACCCTGTTCTTCTGAACACCTAAACCCTAAACCCTGAAGCCCCAAGGCCTCGAAGACCTACATCCGAAAGCCGAAAGCCCTATACCCCGAACCCAAATGATTAAGACCCTGGTAATCCCCTGCACAATGCCCTTATGAAACTTCTCACAACAACCATGCGAAAGAACCAAATCAGGAAGTTTTGCTACCAGGAATCATTGCTTCCAGGTTGCCAAGCTAGGACGGGACCCCGTTAAGGTTAGAGCTTGCAATTACAAGGATTGTAAAGGCTTCGTATAAGAGTCTCATAAGAGAGTTTGCTGTCAACATCTAGGGTTTAGGGTTTACAGTTTACAGGGTTATAATATAGAAGCCTCAAGAATTACGTATACTATCTTGGGGGTTCCCTAATATAATAATTATAGTAGAATGCACCCCCAAAAACCTATTCGAATTATTAAGGCGCCTACAGTAAGTGCTTTTGTAAGGGCTTTCTACAGGTGCTTGTGAAAACACACAGACGAAGACAAGGTCCCGCATGTGGAAGTGCTGGCAAGAAGGACCTTAGCATTTGAGGTCTACAGACGGGTCCCTTCATTGTCGTCTGAAGCTCCCATATGCAGGTTTACAGAGTTACAGAGTTGGTTTGGTAGCTCACTCAGTTAGTTGCACGTTATCTGGCACAAGTTTCCGAGTATGTGATGACGGTTTGCATGTACTTGTGCTAAACCGGGCCGGTCTCGATGTTGAGACTCTCATGCTGTCGTGGTCCCCTAAACCCTAAGCCCTAAGACCTAAATCCAAATGTAGACAGGCTGGAAAGAGAGCTTGCGCGGCTGGTCTACTTCGTGGTGAATGGTGGCAGGCTTAGAGCCACGATGTGATTCAGCAAGGGTTCAGGGCTAATGCGGGGTAGTTGATAAGTGCTGTGGCTGTGACTATAACGGTAGCGTGTAACTAGGGTTTAGGTTGTTCAAGGGGTAGGGCTGTTTACGGCTAGGTGTAGAAATAAGGCGAC